CTCGTCACCTGTTCTCCCCCAGTCTACTAGGAAAAGGATTTTGCATTTTCTCTTGCTGTGAACATGCCCCAGGCCCCTTGCCACCTTGTCCTTCTGCTACTGTGACCACCACCACCCCCGGCTGCAGCCATCATAACTGGGCCCCCTTGAGCTCACTAAGATTCACTCAGATCTCCTCTCCCCACACTTCGCTGGGTGAGGAGAATGCAGGGCTTCCCAGCTGATTGTAAGCTTCATTAGTGTATGGCAGATGCTTTTCCATCGTAGCTGGTGGTCATTAGACCCTTAAAGGGCATCCAGATGATGAGAGACAGTGACAGTAGTGCTGTCACCAAGGACAATGAGTAATAGGCCCTGTGGGGGAACTGAATAGCTCTGGTTCTTCACCCAACAGGGGAAGGCTGGAAGAGCTGATTGCTGTCCAGTTCTTCATCCATACAGTATCCACTGACCAGGTGCTTCTGTGCATGGGCACAGGTACAGTACTGGAGGTGCAGTGTCTTCCAGAAAGCTGTGCCCCAGCTCGCAAGGATAGCACCTACTGAGGGAGACATTCTTCAGGCGACGCATGTAGTCACTGCACTTCAATAGTAACAGCTGCAGTGAGGACGATGCTCTGGCAGCTGGAGGAGGAAACCCACCCCATCCTTGTGATCAACCAGTATTCCCTGTGCAAGTAACTCGTAGGTGGAGAGCTAAGGAGGAGGAGGAGTGAGCCATGAGGACTTTTGAAAAAGGGATAGTCCTGAAGGAGGTAGGAGCTTGATGTTTGCAAAGCACTCAGAGAAAGGGGATGGACGAATTGTCAGGAAAAGAGAGAGGGAACCGAGAGTGAGTCTTGAGTGAGAGAAGAGGCTGGAGAAGTGTAGGAGGAAGCTGATTATGAAAGTTGGGAACTGGAGAGAGAGGCCCCACCTGGTGGTATAAATGCAGGTGTCATTGGGTCACAACAGTCATTGGAGCCCCTCAAGTGGACACAATCCTGGTATTATACAGCACTCATGACTGCAACAGAATCTAGAGACAGGCCAGCGATACACGTAAGAACATTAAAAACCCTGGCGTATCCACTCACCACAGGAATGATCAGCCTAGCTGGTCCTATGTATGATCCCAGGAGTTAAATGACCAAAGTACAAAGACCCTGGATGTTGCAGGACTTGGGCCCCAGTGACAACACATGACAAGATTCAACAATGAGTTTACCTTGGGAGGCTGGTGAAACTTGCAAATGGTGACTGGGCACAGTGGCTCATGCCTATCATCCCAGCACTTTGGGAGGCCAAGGTGGAAGGATTACTTGAGGCCAGGGGTTCAGGTCCAGCCTGGACAATATCACAAGACCCCAACTCTATGGATAAACAAAATAAAATTTGCAAATAGTACCTGGAAAACATTAAATGGAAAAGGTGCTTCCAAGTCCATCCATCAATACTGTGGCCTTTATGTACTGGCTTAAAAGAATCCTAAAATTGTTAAACTAATGAAAAAGAGAGTGCTCCTTTTTCTTACTCCACATAAACACGGAACAAGCATGCCAAGAATGTGGCATTCTCCTCCCAAACTCGACTGTCAGTGGCATAGATGATCATTACCTGCATAGACTGCCCTATTTCCTCCAATAAAATATGAAAGAGGGAGAGTTGGTTTGTGTCTGAATCCTGCTCCCAAACAGGAGAATTTCAGACAAGAGTGAATTAGTTGAGTCCAGGTTAATTGTAGTTCTCCTGGCATTCTCTCCATTTTTCTACAAACCCCTACTGCCTAGGGAGACAACTTTGATCTTGGCCTGCCATAATAACTGTGAAAAAAGTCTAAGAGACATAATTTTATGCTCAAGAGAAAGGCAGTATTGATACCCAGGAGATCCTTCTTCCCAGGCATCTGAGCTTCCTAACTTCACCCCAAGATAGAGCCCATCACAGAAGCCCCAAGCAGGGCCGCCCGAGGGCTAGCCCTGGGAAGACTGTTCCCTAGCCAGGGTTTTGCAGTGCCCAGTCTGCTCGGCCATTTGCAAAGACGCCTACCAGGAGTCCCCACTTAACTCTACCGGTTGAGAGCTGCATTCTGAGGGCTAATAGCTTTGTACCCTCAGGAGACCAGATGCCAAGATAAGAGGAGATAGAGGTACTGAGATGTGTAACAGAGTAATCATCGATTCTTCTCAGTAGAAACCTTGGTTAATCATCAATACCAGGTCGCTGGTTTAGTTTAACCCTTGTCTATCTTGAAAAGGAAAATATGAGTTTCCTTAGAGAAGCTGCTTTTGTCAAAAGCAGCTGCTATTTTTAAGGCAGAAAAGAAATAGAAGAAGCTGGACAAAGACATTTTTTTTATTGCTCCAAAAACATGGTAAATACTTGGCTTGGTGTAAATATGTTGCTTGTCTTAGAAAACTAATGCAGCCGGGCTCGGTGGCTCAGCCTGTAATCCGGCGCCTTGGGAGGTTGAGGTGAGTGGATTGCCTGAGCCTGCGGGTTTGAGACCCGCCTGGGAACTTGGCGAGACCTCATCTCTACAATAAATCAAAAATTAGCCGGGCGTGGTAGCGCGCATCTGTAGTTCCAGCTACTTGGAAGGCTGAGGTGGAAGGATCTCCGGAGCCCAGCAGGTTGAGGCTGCGGTGGCTGGGAGCAGCCACTGCACTCCAGTCTGGGAGACAGAGTGAGACTCCAACTCAAAAAAAGAAAAAAGAAAAGAAAACTAATGCAAAATAAATGTATCAACCCCCACTATTGAGTCAAAGCATATATATCTACAAGTGACTTCCTGTCAAAGATCCACTGCACTACACAGCCTTAGCGTTGACTATTTTTTAAGGTTTGCATATCATAATCAGTATTATAGGTTATAAAATGAGAAAACAGTACAACATACTAGTGTAACTGGCTCTTATGTTGTCTTTTTTTAATCTAAAATTATGAAATCTCTCAGAAAATATAGAATGACTTCATCCAAATTTTAGATGGCTTGTTTTCAGCAACACATACCCCTTCACCAATGTCAGGTGGCTCAAAGAAAGGAAGAAACGCTCCGAAGTTTGTCATTTTATTTACAGGATTTGTCTGCACAGCCAAGAAAGATGTTCCGTTTGCTTCAAAGACAGTCAAGGGCTTCTAAGCCATTTGACTGGAGAGCTGTTTTAAACAGAAATTTGTTTAGTATAGCTTTAATCCTCCAAAGTAGGAGGACTGATTCTAGCCACAGTTGGGCCCAGGAAGGACTCCAGCCCTGGTGGGCTTAGGGAGGACCCAGGCCCAGGTTGGGCCCAGGGAGGACTCCAGGCGAGGTTGGGCCTGGGGAGGATTCCAGGTGAGGGTGGGCCTGGGAAGTACTCCAACCCAGGTTGGTCCCAGAGAGGACTCCAACCCAGGTTGAGCCCATGGCAAGGTCTGTTCTGGACCCTGAAGAAAATCTGCCCTGTGACTCCCAGTGGCTGAGTCCAAAGCCACACGAGCAGAATGCCCACAGATAGGGAGTGTGAGAAGATGCTTCAAAAGAAACTCACAAACAAAGATAGGGAGTATGAGAAGATACTTCAAAAGAAACTCACAAACAAAATGACTGCTCAGAGAATGCCAGGTCTTGTGTGGTATCATCCAGCACAGAGGAAAAGTTATAAATAATTATGCTTGAGAAACAGAGCTAATTAAAAATAATGCATAAAATGAGAAGAAAACTACAGAATAACTTTTCTGCTCCAGTGAGATGCCTCATAATGAAATAGTAGGATTTTTAAAATTTCATTTCACACAGGCATAGAAAAGACAAAGAGGAAGATTATATTGCCAGAAAATGCCAGGGTAGATTTACTAGAGACGTTATCATATGCTGTATTTAAAACAAAAATCTAATTGCTGCAATTCATCATACCCCAGCTATTAAAACCATGCTAACTTAAAGATTTTAATCATTTGCCACTCTTGCACGCAGTGACTTTTTATAGAAGATACAAGAAAATATCTGATTTTGTCAGCCTTTGTATGATTTTTTTTTAGGAGTCCCTAAGCAGAATTAACATGCTTTAAACATATAATTGTGTTTACATCAGTAATAAAAATTTGTTTTGTTTTTACTTTGAGTTAATTCAGTGAGCTATCTAGAACACTGCCAAGCACAGGCTGCTGGGCCCCTTTCAAGTTCTTGGACATATCCAGCCTTGTAAGGGCAGGTTGTGCACACCCCTCCTTTTGGCTTCGAGACAGGATTATTTTAATGATCAGAGAAATTTGAAAGAAAAGACTCGACTAACTTTGACATGAATTTGCTCCTTGGTCTTAAAAAGGCAGAGACTCTTAAGGCAGTCATGAAGGCAAGGCTGTTCTTTAAAAAACAAACCTTATACAGTGCTCTCTTGTGCGGGGAGAAGAGAGGCAGGGTGGTGAGAACATGATCTCAGGGTGTGGAAAGCACTGTCCCAGGAGTGAAGACGGTCACAACAGGAGCCAGAAAGGACTGGGGAGGGGAAGGCCAGAGGCTAAGCCCATCCTCTGTGGAGTGTGGGTGTGGGTCACCCATTTCATTCAGCAGAGCACATGGGTGCAACAATTCGTCCCACCCTGGGAGAAGCATGGTAGTGTGATTAGGTATTTATGCACCTTGAAGACCCAACTATTTTTGGGTCCTGTATACCAGTCGATTCATGAGAGTAGCACTATGATTTAATTCTGTGTATGTTTATTAAAGTATAGCATTATTTTAAAGCAAAAAAAAGGTAAACAACTTCCTAAATCACAAGAAACTAGTGCTTTCCCCCGCTTTGTTGAGATCATAAGGTGTAGTGAAGCCCAGTCCGTTGATGGGACATTTGAACTGGCTTGTTCAAGGTCGCACAACCGGACCAGGCCCCACATCTCCCCACTCCCCAGCACACCATGTCACCTGGCAGCTGTCCTCTCTCACCTGCTCCGGTGAGAGATCCCTGCATGTGCATGCCCTCCCCCGCCCACACCCAGGGCAGCGTCCTCTGTCTGAGGAGTAACCAGGTGTTTATTCTGCAGGTGCAAAATTCCCTATCAAGTGGACAGCCCCAGAGGCAGCCCTGTATGGGAGGTTCACCATCAAGTCTGACGTGTGGTCTTTTGGAATCTTACTCACAGAGCTGGTCACCAAAGGAAGAGTACCGTACCCAGGTAAGAGCAGCGTTGCACGGACGGGCCTCTGACCAGAGGAAAGCAGAACTAGGAGCCACCATGGCGTGTAGACGGGCGGCGTACACTATGTTCCAGGCTTGATGTAATCAGCACCACTCTGAGCTTGTCAGTCCCCCTTGGGGCAGGGAATCTCACCTCTTTCAGAGGAGGTGTGCCTGTGATTCCCAGAGCAGAAGTGTCACTGGCAGGGCCTCTGCCCAAATGGAGCTTGCAGACATGTCTGGGAAAGAGAAGAAAAGCTCCCACTGCTTTTTTATTATACTGCAGCCCTGACCCGTGGGTGGGCAGGCAGGAGCCACCCGGACCTGTTCCATCCATAGGCCCTAGCTCCAGATGGCTGGGAGGGCTTGGCCCATGAGGCATGACTCTGAGCCCACTCACGGCCTGCTGCATCAGGACGTGCAATGCCAGGGCAAGTCGCCTGGAGAGAACCGGAGAGTCTCAGGTCCTGGAATTTTTTTCTGCATTATCAGATTCATGCTTTCCAAGGAAACCATGGGTTTAGAGTTATCCAGGCTCAAATTCATTAATGTAGACAGGCCGTGACACGTGTGCCATTTCACCTCCACATCTCAGCGGTTATGGCACAGGGACGAGCTGCCCCTTGAAATGTTAAGGACATCTTTTTCAGTTACGGCTGAGTGAGGGAAGAACACAGCTCCCCCATTCTCTGCCTAAGGAAGGAGCTTAGGGGGAAAACCGTGATAGGAACGATAGTGGAGATTAATGAAGAATTTAGGTCTCTTGCAAATCCCGGGCTTGTAATCACATCTTGGCAGTCAGAGGAGCCAACAGGGGCAGATTAATGTATAACCCCTTTGTTTGCTTTTTGTGATTGTGTCTGGTCATCTTCAGAGAACACAGAAGCGCCCATGCAGGGAATCTCTTCCCTGGCTGGTTGTGGGCCTTGAGAGTCCATTGACCGGAAGGCAAAACTGACCAATTCCCAGTCCCTGAGGCACAAGTGTTCAGAGACTGTGTGAGTCAGTTTATGGATGGGGCAGAGGCTGCACCCCAGCACACACAGATGGGCAGACACCCCAGGAGGAGCCAGCAGCTCGGAAGAAAGGGCGTCCGGGGGGACAGGGGGGCTAGACACAGACAGGAGGGGAGTGGTTGAATTGCTGCTCAAGGGGAAAGTGTGCAGGTCTGGGGGTTGTGAAGTTGCAAAGGTGCCTCTTTTTTATCGTCTGACTTTGGAGCTGATTTCTTCCTGATCCACCAGGGCCACGGCCACCCAATGTGTTCAGTGCACTTCGGGGGAGGTCAGTGTTGTGTTGCGTTTCTGGGAAGCCTTTCCTGCCAGTCACACAAAGCTGCTTTTTGTTTCTCGGGGTCCACACAGAAGCCCAGACAAAGGGGCGGAGGTGAATGCCCCAGAGGGAAGGGAGGTGTGCATTTCTGGGGAGAGTCTGGGGTCAGGGTTGGTTTTAGCATAAAGAAAATGGCCTCATCTTACAACTTAGACTAGAATCATTCCTGCAACGTGGCTTTGGTCAGTGACTATGCCGGGCATTTTGCTCTACCTGAGAACTAGTACGAATGAGACACCCATGCTCTCAGCAAACATCAGTTAGCACCTGCCTAGGGTCAGGTGCTGTCACAACATTGAGCAAATAAAAACATCTCATCCTTGCGCCCGTGGCCTGATGGTCAGATAGATTAAATATGCATCAAGTCCAGGAGGAGAGTAGGCTGGGCACGGGGGCGCATGCCTGTCATCCCAGCACTTTGGGAGGCCAAGGCAGGAGGTTTGCTTGAGCCCAGGAGTTCAAGACCAACTTGAGCAAAATGGCAAGACCTAGTCTTTATTACAAAAATCAAAAAATTAGCTAGGCGTGGTGGCACACACCTATAATCCCTGCTACTTGAGAAGCTGAGGTGGAAGAATGGCCTGAGCCCGGGAGGCCAAGGCTGTGGTAGCCGTGAGCTTACCACTGTACACCAGCCTGGTCAACAGAGTGAGATCCCAACTGAATAAAAAAGGAAAAAAGAAATCAGCGTTATTTGTTACTCATGTATAATTAGAGGAAGTCATCCTCAAGGGATGAATTACTTGACTTACCCACTATGGACCCCAAACCTTAATTCTGAGATTGGGGTCAGGCGCACATGGTTCAGGTGTCTACACACAACAGGTCCTGGGGGAACCTTTCAACAGAATCCTGTGAGGATGGCCAGAAGAGTCTGAATGAGAGCCAAGCTGGTTTATTGTGCAGCTAGTCTGAGTCCCCACTGGCACACAGTGGACCACTGCTCTCATTCTGTAGGCGTGGGGGGGGGCCATGAAGAGGGGAGTCTGCCACACCAGGAAGGCAGGTATGGCTCCCCCAGGCCAGGAGGTGGGAGGAGAGCCCCAGATCCTTGCTTGGAAGCCACCAAGGCCACGAGGATGCACCCCAGTGTGACTTGGAGAGAGGCCTTGTAAGATGAAGCGGGGACACATGGCTAGGTGGGTGGTCAAGAGCCCACTGCCCGGGAGGCGCCAGGCCTGGCTGGGTGGCCGTGGTGACCGGGCAGCTGTGTCAGCGGGGGTTGTGACGTGAGCAGCTCCTCACCCAGAAAGCCACAGAAAAGTGTTTGCAGTTCCCCAGCCACGGGTGCTCCTTGGCTGTTGTTTTTTTGGCGTAGCTATAATCACATTTAATTGGTCTTGTGAAGCTGACAGCAAACTCTTCTTGAGGGAGAAGCCTTTACAGAGGATTCCAATTACAGGATTATTACCCTAATAAGGATAACAACTCCTTGGGAGCAAACAGTTTCATTAAGCCTCGCCCAGATGTCACTGTGGAAGGGGACAGGCCTTGCTCTCTACCTCCTTGCTGTGTGCTGGTGTGGCCCAGTCAGGCAGCGTGTGCCAAGGGATTGCTTCTCAGTTCAGCAGGTCACACTGTGGCCTGCTGGTGGCCCCCAGGACAGACCTCTGCCCTGTCCATCATGACTTCCGCCCTGCCTTTGGATGGAGCACTTTCTCAGCTGGCTGGAGAGCATCTTCAAGTAACTCTTTTTTTTAAAGTGGTGGGGGTACACTTCTTTTCTGGGTTCTTCCATACCTGAGAATGGCCTTCTGCTGCCCCCACATAGGAAGGGACATTGGCTGGTAGTTAAGAGTAGAGGGAGTAGAGGAAGAGTTGACTTATCGATGGTCCTATAAAAGCTTTCCAGGCATTTTTTTCCTAAGTTGGAGTCCTTCTCTGTCACCCAGCTTGGAGTGCAGTGGCACGCTTGTGATTATCGCAGCATCAAGCTCCTGGACTCAGGCGATGCTTCTACCTCAGTGTCCTAAGTAACTGAGAATACAGGTGCATGCCACCATACCTGGCAATTTTTTTTTTAAGATACAAGGTCTTGCTACATTGCCCAGGCTGGTCTCAAACTCCTGGGCTTAAGCAATCCTCCCACCTCAACCTCCCGAAGTGCTAGGATTAGAGGTATGTGCCACCACACCTGTCCAACTTTCCAGACATTTTTGCCCAGCATGAAAGGAGGTCCAGAAGTGAGCCTCAGAGAAAGAACCCTGAATGGAGCATGTGCGGAGGTGAGGGCAAGCTCTGTGAGAGGAATGGATGGTGGGGGTGGACAGTCTCAAGTTGGTTGAGGACCTTGAAGCCAAAGGAGGCAGCACCTGAGATGCTATGCTGAGACTGACATGGGGGTGCTGGGGTCTTATCACCTCACAGGAGAGAACTCTTGCCTTCCAGACATGTACCCATAGACACAACTCCAAGCACAGCTCCGTGGTACCCAGTCCTGTGCGTGCCCGAGCCTGTGTGTCTTAGCATTGTGGCTTAGCCTGCCTCTCTGCGAGGTGGGGCTCAGAGCTGCTCTTGCATCCACACCAGGGCTGATTCTTTGCAGAGGGATTGTTGTGTGTGAGAAATCAAAACAAGCAAAGCCTTTCTCTGGGGATCTATAAAATCAGAGTTGTGCGTGTCACCCTGCCATTTCACCTCCAAGGTCTCTCTCAAGCCTTCTCTTCTTCTAGACTCAGATTTCTCCCTGCCTCCCGGCTGCCCACGCTTCTAGCATTGTCACCAGCAGAGTTAGCATCCTACGAAACACACACCAGGTCATCTTGCCCTCCTTGTTAAATTGTCCATGACATCCCTCTGCCTTCTAGATAAGTTCCAGAAGCCATAGCTTTGCAGAGTCCTGCACAGCTCTTTTCCTGTAATCATCCCACATAGCACCTCCCATGTACCGACAGCCCAGCAGTGAACCGACAGACAAATGTCCCTGCCGTCATACCTTCCATGCTACTTCCAGGAGACAAACAGTAAACAAAGATAGATAAGCAAATCTGTTGAACATTGGCTGGTGGTGATGGCTACTGAGAAAAATAAAACAGGGAGGGGGATGGCAGGAGAGGGCAACAGGGAGGATGTCACTGGAAGGGACTGTCTGAGTAAAGACCTGAGGCCGGGTAGGTGTGGGAGCAGAGCTTAACATTAGGGAGAGCACAGAGCGCAGCACCCTGCAGACCCCGGAGGCCCCCGTGGCTGGAGCAGAGGGAGCAGGAGGGCCTGGAGCCCCAGGGACAGGTCAGCAGGGCCTTGAGGTCAGGACCAGGACTCGGGCTTTAACTGTGCAGGAGGTGGAAGTAAGAGACTCTGAGCCAACAGTGACTGATTGACTTTGGGATGTCTCCCTTGCCATCCCCACCCTCCACATGTGACCGCACATACCAAGAGATCTCTCCTGAACACAGGTCTCTCCTTGTGCCTCCTTGTCTGAGTCCCTCAAAGCCCCACCAGTCATCACCTCCTTCGTGAAGCCCTCCCCATGCCCAGACAAAATGGGCTACCCCTTCTGCTGCTTCTGTGACATCTGGTACTTTCTGTGGCAGCACCGTCCATGTCTGTACTTCCCAGGAACTACAGAGGAGGGAGCCCCTTTGATGAATTTTCATTGCCCAGTACTGTGTCTGCCTCCCAGTAGAGGCTCTGTAAGTATAAGTAGTGAATGAATGAATGAAAAAA